TTACTAGTATAGTATTAACTGTTATGCTTTATCATATTGTTATCATAATGAATGACTCTTCATGATAATGCAGATGAAAATAAAAATAGACTCAATTCAATTCAATTTAACTTGTATTCCTTAAGTTTGACAACTTATTGGATAACTATAATTTACAATAAATTACAAATGATATATACATATATGTATTTTGCATTCAACAATCATTAACGCTCTCACATCCTCATCCTCATCCTCATCCTCATCATCATCATCATCATCATCATCAACAACAACAACAACAACAACAACAACAACAACAACATGTCAGTTACATAATCCGTAATGATACAAACATATTCTAAATGTCAATAACACATACATAGACATTTATATAAATTATATTGATATGCATGTTTTACGTCACTCGTGCCTTATTAGGCTCAAATATAAATCTAGCAAGTTTACGAAGATCGCTGATATTGTCAACATTTAGTAACTGTACAAGTTTATACATGGAAGGATTTCGCCAGTAGTATGGTTTTATGTATTTAACTCTCAGAATAAGATAATTTCTGCCTCAAAATAAAATGATATTCGTCTTCAATATCTTAATTGCAACTCATACAGTGTCTTTGTTCTCTCGTTGTGTTATTGTATCTACCAGTCTCAATAGCTAAATTATGTGCAGAAAGACGAAGTTTAGATAAACAGATTCGGTATTTCATAGGAATACACTATATACTATAATATCAAATAGTATTGAAGAATATGGTGATTTGCTAAGTGCTTATATATAATACATTTAGGTGAGGCTTCTAATAGCCCTCTCAGATATTGTTGACTTTGATCAAATATTCTTTGCTTTATCATATACAAAATACTTTTATGGATATAGAAATAGTAATTTGTCCACACATCTGCGAATCCGAGAGAAAAAATACAATGTTTGGCATAATTAACCAGGTAAAGCAATTGTCTGTACGACCTGCTGTAAGCTTCTATATATTAGTCTTACCTAGTTTCCACAGATGTAACAGCCCACTCCTGGCTGTAACCCCTACTGTAAGCTTCTATATCTTAGTCTTACCTAGTACAGCCCACTCATGGCTGTACCCCCTACTGTAAGCTTCTATATATTAGTCTTACCTAGTTTCCACATATGTTACAGCCCACTCCTGGCTGTAAGCCCTACTGTAAGCTTCTATATATTAGTCTTACCTAGTTTCCACAGATGTTACCGCCAACTCCTGGCTGTACCCCCTACTGGAAGCTTCTATATATTAGTCTTTCCTAGTACAGCCCTGTCCTGGCTGTACGCCCTACTGTTAGCTTCTATATATTAGTCTTACCTAGTACGGCCCACTCATGGCTGTACGCCCTACTGTAAGCTGCTATATATTAGTCTTACCTAGTACAGCCCACGCCTGGCTGTACCCCCTACTGTAAGCTTCTATATATTAGTCTTACCTAATACAGCCCACTCCTGGCTGTACCCCCTACTGTAATCTTCTATATATTAGTCTTTCCTTGTTTTCACAGATGTTACAGCCCACTCCTGGCTGACAAAAGCGATTAATACACCTTGACATTAGTGTGATAAGCACAGGTAGGGTAAAACGAAGACCAGGTGATGAACCGTGACCACTGACCTGAACAATAACATTGACTTCAGGGACATCTATTATAGCGTTTAGGTTGGTTGAATCAGTGGTGTATTGCAAATCACCGTGAAGCCCATTATACTTATCGACATTGCTGGCGAAAGGAAGCCACTGAAAAGTTTGATTCCAATATTCGAATGGAAAATCATCGATGAAATTGAAGAAAATCTTCAAAACATAGCCCGGAAAAACCGCTGCATCCGCCACTAAGTTCATCTGATACATACATCAGGGTAAGTAGCAAGCTGCACGTGTCCTGAGAGGTTAGTTATGGCCACAGGCACAGGTCACATAGTATGTCTAACCCGAGGATTGCTAATATACTACGTTATGTATAAAAACCGTGAATGGGAACTTAAATCGCTATAGAAACCCCGTTTGAATGATGATCCCATTAGTACCTACAACAGCGAACGTACATGCTTGAAAATCGCGGTTGATGATGAACTCGACGTAACTTAAAGGGAAGTTGGGCATGGAAAATGACAGAAAATCACATACCATAATAAAAATGTGGACGGAGATAAAGTAAATATAATGCATGATCGGTTTTACAACACTGGAAAATAAAATAGGAATTTCTATACAATGACCATCTTCATAATTTTGTCAATTAACAATACGTTAAAGAAGAACTCACTGACGGTAAAACAAATCACAGGGCAGATTTTACACGTTTCCATAATATGCCCCAATATTTTACGCGACATACTAAGACAATCTACGGGGATAGACAACATACCAATAGAGGTTCTGCGGGATAACGCGCGCATTGACAATCTTAACAACAATTGACGTTCTTCTTTAAACAAGATGCTATTCCCGTAGTGGATATCGCGTACTATACATCTTATACCAAACCCGGATTATACAGACGCAAAAAAACCCGATAAGTTGCTGCTAGATCTCACTTTTATCGGTTTCTTGTCAAAAAATATCTATCGCTTCCGTGTAAAGATTTTTACAGACGTTTTTGAAGTTGGCCTGAACGGCACAATATTTTGGCATTATGACTCCGGAAGAAAAGAAATGGCTTAGACCATATGTACTCCTATAAGGCCAATTTAGAAACATATCAAATTGATCGTCTGCCGGGTGGTTCGTCGACGCTAAAACAAAACTTTGTTACAGTAATGGTTCAAACACCAATCCACTGGAATCCTTAGGCCTTTTCTGGACGCATCACAACTAGGGTGAAAGAACTCAAAAAAATGAAAGTTGGTGGGAGGAGGGTTAAAATATGAGGACTGTGTATAATACTCGAGTAGTTAAACCATTTCAATCATCTATGATAAGAATGGTGCACTGATAACATTCTCCAAAGCTAAACGTCCGTGCGGAGGAATATTGTTTTCTGATGTTACAGTTGTGACGATTAGTGGACTGAGGCCGAGTTTTGTTTCTTATATTGAGGTATAATTTTAAAGCGGAAAATATAGGTTTTCAGTTGAACTGTTGCTGTTCATGGCTAAAGAGGATATTGACACAATATTATATCAAAATTTAAAGTCGGATGCAAAATACACTATGTCTTTGAAATTGCACGGGTGGTCGAATGGCGCACTCGCCTTTCACCAAGACAGCCAGGGTTACGATTCCCCGATTGGATGTGTAAAGGTACTGGTCATCTGCCCAAACACGTTGGTTTCTCCAGGTTCTCCGGTTTCCTCCCACATTAAGAACCCCCGCGCGCTTAAATTCCAGTTAACAAGAGTGATTAATATAAGTTGATACAACTAGTTTCATAATTTGTTGTAATATTGGCTTGAGTTCTTATTCATAACATACTTACGTTGTTTGGAAATTCAACAGAAATGGGGTTTAGAGCGACGAAGATTAACAGCTTGAAGTATGCCTACAGTTCTTTTTGCTTTATCTTTGAAAAACAACGTATCTGGTCATCAAGTAAAAGCGAAGCTACACAATGGCGTCGGTTTGATTAAGTTTGTCAGCTCATAACTTATTCATTTTGTACATAATCAACTATTTATAAGAAACAAGAGACTGTACACGCACAGGGTGGATAAACAAGTATTGTTTGTGACTGGACATTTGACTTTCAAAGGTACAACCTGGTATTTATAATAATTGACATACGATGTGAATCGAACAACGAAATCAGACATATGTCTCGGCCTATCGATGGCCTCTGTTCCGTTTCGATAGTAACCATGGTTTTCTGAACCGACGGGGTTGTGATCGCGTTTAAATGACAACTGCACTTATCAAATAATCGATAGCGGATGATACCTGTATTTCAACCAATTAGAGGACACAATTCCGTCATCATGGAATAATAAAGTAAAGGAAATGAGATTAACTTGCACAAAATCCTAAGACACGCCTTTTACTTAGTCCGACTGAGTTAAAGGACCAGAAGGCACGACCCCTTATAGAAAACATATATCTACCAGAAGGCACGACCCCTTATAGAAAACATATATCTACCAGAAGGCAAGACCCCTTATAGAAAACATTTATCTACCAGAAGGCACGACCCCTTATAGAAAACATATATCTACCAGAAGGCACGACCCCTTATAGAAAACATATCTACCAGAAGAGACTGAACTAATGGTTAACTAAATATCTAAACATAGTAATGGTCAAACCAACAGGTGAAGTTTATTTCTTTATATATTTATTATGTATATATATATATATATATATATATATATATTTGTTAACCAATATGTAAAATAGTTATCCTCTCTTCGTGCCCTTTTTGTAAAGGTTTAACATTCTATAATTAGTTTTCTAAGCATTAAGAAGGTGACTTAATTGTATGCCCCATAATTCCGAATGAAAGCTGAGCACTTCAATATTCGATGGAATATTCAATATTTTCCGATAACCAGCGTTATAACCAAGGATATTAATGAAAGCCATATGGACGGGAAAAGGTATCATTCAATTCGACCATTGATTTCTTTTATGGACTGCTTGCTGCTCGACTGATCACCTGTGACTAGCAAGTACAGGTTAGTCAGTCTAGTGGTGTGAACATGGTCTGCTAGTTAACACGTATGTGTACTGGTGGTGTCGGTACTGACTTGGTGAGTCAGACCATCCTTAGTATGTGTACTGGTGGTGTCGGTACTGACCAGGTGAGTCTGACCATCCTTAGTATGTGTACTGGTGGTGTCGGTGAGTCAGACCATCCTTAGTATGTGTACTGGTGGTGTCGGTACTGAGGTGAGTCTGACCATCGTTAGTATGTGTACTGGTGGTGTCGGTCCTGACTTGGTGAGTCAGACCATCCTTAGTAGGTGTACTGGTGGTGTCGGTACTGACCAGTTGAGTCTGAACCGTCATTAGTATGTGTACTGGTGGTGTCGGTGAGTCAGACCATCCTTATTATGTGTACTGGTGGTGTCGGTACTGACCAGTTGAGTCTGAACCGTCATTAGTATGTGTACTGGTGGTGTCGGTACTGAGGGGAGTCAGACAATCCTTAGTATGCGAGCTGGGGGTGTCGGTACTGAGGTGAGTCAGACAATCCTTAGTATGCGAGCTGGTGGTGTCGGTACTGAGGTGAGTCTTACTATCCTTAGTATGCGAGCTGGTGGTCTCGGTACTGACTTCGTGAGTCAGACCATCCTTAGTATGTGTACTGGTGGTGTCGGTACTGAGGTGAGTCTGACCATCGTTAGTATGTGTACTGGTGGTGTCGGTACTGACCAGGTGAGTCAGACCATCCTTAGTATGTGTACTGGTGGTGTCGGTACTGACTTGGTGAGTCAGACCATTCTTAGTATGTGTACTGGTGGTGTCGGTACTGAGGTGAGTCTGACCATCGTTAGTATGTGTACTGGGGGTGTCGGTACTGAGGTGAGTCAGACAATCCTTAGTATGCGAGCTGGTGGGGTCGGTACTGAGGTGAGTCAGACCATCGTTAGTATGGGTACTGGTGGTGTCGGTACTGAGGTGAGTCAGGCCATCGTTAGTATGTGTACTGGTGGTGTCGGTACTGAGGTGAGTCAGACAATCCTTAGTATGCGAGCTGGTGGTGTCGGTACTGAGGTGAGTCTTACCATCCTTAGTATGCGAGCTGGTGGTCTCGGTACTGACTTGGTGAGTCAGACCATCCTTAGTATGTGTACTGGTGGTGTCGGTACTGACTTAGTGAGTCAGACCATCGTTAGGATGTGTACTGGTGGTGTCGGTACTGAGGTGAGTCAGAACATTCTTAGTATGTGTACTGGTGGTGTCGGTACTGACTTAGTGCGTCAGACCATCGTTAGTATGTGTACTGGTGGTGTTGGTACTGAGGTGAGTCAGACCATCGTTAGTATGTGTACTGGTGGTGTTGGTACTGAGGTGAGTCAGACCATCCTTTATGGCAATTCTAGTTTGGTTTGATTTGGGGAGGGGGCGGGGTTTGGTTTTATTATTAATGAGGTTTTGTCTTATAGTTGATGTCAGAAAGCTGAGTTAGTTGATTCAACATTTATCATTCACATCACTTGTCTTCTTTGTTGTAAGCAAAATTTATTGATTTCTGCTGATTATCCTGTGTTATAAATTCATGGTTTAAAGTTTGTGTTCATGTATTTTGTGAGTTAACAGGTAAAGGACATGTACAACTGTTCAGTGTTCTTCCAAACCAATCAAATTAGTTAACCTACCCTCAGTGAGTCCCCCACCCAAGTAGCTTGTTTAGATTTTGTCCCATTTTTCAAAGACTGTCCTATATGTTAATTTAGACTTGGTGGTAAAGAATCTTGCAATCGACCAGATATAATCAAATCTAAAATGNCAGACAGGTATAACATATGTATAAATTAACACAGATAGGTATTACACATGTAATTACTACTACAGACAGGTACTACACATGCATATACTATCACAGATAGGTATTACACATATAAATACTACTACAGACAGGTATTAAACATGTACTACTACAGACATGTATTACACATGCATATACTATCACAGACATGTATTTACTATCACAGACAGGTATTACACATGTATATACTATCACAGACAGGTAATACACATGTTATTACTACAATAGACAGGTATTACATATGTACAATGTATTTACTATCACAGACATGTATTACACATGTATTTACTATCACAGACAGCTGATATAACATATGCAATTACTTACTATGGAGAGGTTCCTATATTGTTGTTAAGGGGGCGGGGGGGCGGCGGTTGAATGGAAAATAGTTTTATTTATTTATTTTCCCATTATATAAATATCTGTTTTAACATGATATCTTGTATTTGAATGGTAATAACGTGCATGCTGTAAGTGTTACCATGTATCTGGCTTGTGTGAAATGCCTTTTAGGTCACAAAATACAATTGTATCTCTACAAAATATATCTAGTGATCAATATCTCAAAGACTTTAAAGAACATGCACCTGATGATGAAATATCACTTATCTGTATACATATGTATCAAATAATGAAATATTACTTCTTGTCTGTAAAAGCATAGGTAAATACAAGTTTATAACCAGTTTAAAACAATGAATTAATGTTCCTTACATTACAGTATATTGATTACAGTATAGAATTACAAATACATAAGTATGTTCTTTAATGTCTGTGATAGTTAAAACAATTTTATCTGAAACAATATAATTAAAGATACATAGCCTGTCTGTGATAATAAATACAGGTGTATGACCAGTCTGAAACAGTAAATAAAAAATATGTTCCTATGTCTATCTATATGTTATACTCCACAGAGACCAAAATGGCTTTTATGCGGTCTGTGATAAGCAGCCGAAACAGTTAATAAATGTTCCTAATATGTTTGTTAT